ACTAAGAGTATGAAGATATATTTAATTTCACAGTTAATATTTCATTATTTGATGTAAATGACACTTTAAATGGATAATTTCCCACTTTATTATACTGCAATATAGTGGCCAAAAATTATATTTTTCATTGGAACTCGCAATAATCAATTTTATAAGTTCCTGAAGTCTATGCTTATCAGACAGGTAGCTTTTGTTAAGATCCTTTCTTTACCACACATTTATTACATTCATTTCATGGCTTTAAGGTATAATTGCTGCCCATTTTGACTCACATTTCTTTTTTTCGTATTACTTCACTTACCACCTAAATATTATAGGAAATTAAATTAAATCCCAATGGGCTGCAGTGGAAGAAAACAGTACACACTGTATATTGACTTGAGAGGTTTCACCTAGGACCTAGGCTAGATCTAATTTGTGCGAGTGATGCTGTCTGTTATGAGAGCACAGCTAAATATATTGATTTCTTTTCCCCAATATTAAAGCATGTCAACATGAAAGCATTAGTTACAATATTGTATCGCCCATAATGTTTTACTAAGTATAGCATCTAAGGGAATTTAAAACTATAAAAATCTGTTTCCGAATTTGTATTGGAAATTCTCAGATGTCTCATTTACTTGAAATATACCATCAAATAGTCTGTGTTAAAACAAATCTGCAGTAACTTTATTACACATTCTATTATATGACTGTTAAATATGCAAACTGCTTTGAATGTGTCTATTATTTAAAAGGATAGCATTGCTTTTTACTTTAAAAGCAAGTTTTACTCTGGAAGCACGCTAGCGTGTCCATATTTTCATTTCAAATGCGTATTCATGATATCACCCCATGAAGCGGACCCTGGCAGCTGAGGAATTGATTTCCCAAGCATTACTAAACCAAGATCAACATAAAAGTCTGTGGGTCATATCACTAAACTAAACATTATCTATTTAAATGTATGCATTGCAAGTTTCAGTAAAAAAGGAATGTGCCTTTTATACCTTTGTGGTGGCCATCAAATTGCTTTTTTGACTCCTAAAGTTATTTCTACAGAATTGCACACATAAAACAAGTAAGTATTTATCTACTTTTGGTATATGTATAAACAGAAAAGGCTGTGGGACCACAGCAGGGTTGCCAATTACAAGTCAGCCACAACTTTTCTATGTGATTATTGGCTACAGTGAATCTGGAAAAAAAATATTGCCGTTGGATTTTAATGTCTTCATATGCTTTTAAACATCCCTGAGGCTAGAACAGCACTATAGAATTTTGCAAATAAGCAACCTTTTTTCTTAGTTGCACAGCATGTTTTTAGCAAAGAAAACTGTGGGTGGTAAACAAGTCAACACACCTTTCAAAATTAATTTACGTCAGGAGTGAAGCTGTCTCCACTTCTAATTTTAGTTTGGGAAGGATTTCAACACTTGATACTTCTCTTTGTCAATATATTTCCATGAGTTGCTCATATAGTTGAATTCCTCATTTAGTTTTTTATGACAGTAGAAAAATCTTGTGAAAACTGTCACATAAGTTATATCTTTTAATATACACACACTGTGCCCAGCTACATTTTTACCCAGGAAGTACTCACACAGGCCTAGACATTCAAATCTCTTGGTGAATTTAATGTTAAGGGCCTCTATTTCAAAATCAAAATGGGTAAATTTACATTTTTGCTTCTAGGAATTAATATAATTTACTTTTGGATTTAATTTAGTACAGCTAAGAAAATTCAATAACGCAAAGTGTACTCAACGTTGATCAGTATATTAAAAGATATTCAGATGCAGATGATCTAGCTTTTCTTCTGGTCTCATTTAACTATCTAAACTCTATTAATGCATGCATATTTTAGTCATAATTTAGGTGAACAAATTAAGACAAAGTAGTTTAACAAAGTTATCAGTGATGGGTTAATTATGTCATACTTGAAGAGATCATTAGGAGGGCCTTAGGTTAAGCAATTAATAAGCCTAACCATGATGGTAGTTTGATGTCTACATATGCACTGTTAAGAGTGACGTGGTTCATGCTGCTTTTAAGAAAGCTTTGCTCCTGAAATAAATTCCTGGGTACAGATTTTGTCTCTTTTGAAGCTAAAGGAAAATGAACCTAGTACAATGTGGAACAATGTGGTTCATTAGTTGCAGCACATACATGAGAGAGCAAACAATAAGCCAGTATATTTCCTACCATCATATTCTCAAAACATTTCTGGTCACATCATATCCCATTTCTTAGTTTCACTTCATAAAATGGAAACTAGAATTTAAATCATTGTTTTCTGCTGTAATCAGGAAAGTCCTTTACATATTTTCCTGAAGCTTTTAAAAAAATTGTATGTGGACAGAGAGCACACATGAACTTGTCTATTGTTCAAAATTGGGGTCACTATTTGTAGCGATGTTTGATTATTAATTTTAAATGCAAAATCCACAAATACATATGGGCAACACCAATCATGAAGGTCTTTAAATAATGTCAAAAATTAAAATGGCTTTCTTTAATATACTATGCAGTAACTTCTATAATAATTTTCTGTAAACTTATTTTATTTAGCAGGACACACTGTGGCACACACACTCTTCGTTGCCTAACCAGAAAATACCCCCATTTCTTCTGTGCTAACACTGTGCTTATTTGTCCAGGTAAAGGGAAGGCATATGTTCAGGTGGAAAGTGAACTCTTTATCCCCAGGGTATGAATCATGCTTGGTATAATTCATTCATGGTTAATTCATGACTAAGTGTTAGTTATTGGTTCAGTGTGGGCATGAGAATTAGTCCTGAACAATGAGACATGAAAGGACATTTGCTGTGAAATATTCTGGGACTTCTCTTCCTCCTTCTTAATGAAATGAAATTTACAAGATGCTCTAGGAGAATTGAATTTGCTGCCTTTGGTAACAGTCTGTGAGGACAGGATGCCTGCAGTTGCTGTAATTACCTTACGATGAGGAAAGCCAGGAAAACTGTAGAGAAGCCTTTTTGGAAGCTCTACGTCTCTGAACTGCTGAACTCATCAATCCTGGAAACACTTGCCTCTGAATTTCCAGTTATGTTTAAGCCACATTTAATTGGATATTCTGTTTCTCAGAGCAGAAGATATCTAATAGGCACTCATGCTATACATACTTCAAGTAAAATGGTATCTTGCAGGAAGCTTTATATGTTACCATGCATTTTATGTGTTTAAAAATATTTTTTGAAAACAAGTTCAAATCACATATTTATGAGTAAGAAAGATTTATATGGATCTAACATTTGTTATTTTTGTCTACTCAAATCTATTTTCCTTTTTCCATATACTGTCTTCTCAGTTTTTTCTTTCAAGACATCTTTTCCTCCTCTCAGACCATGAGGATCCTGTGGAGCTGACCCCGTCCTCCCATTCACAGATTAATGGTCTAAGATCCATGCCTGACCACATTGATTGGTTAAGGATACCCAGATGAATAAATCACAACAACAGACTCCAGTTTGGAACGTTCACTTCCGGGGATCTTTGTACAGTAGGGTTTAAAGCTAGAATTGCTGGTAGCCATCCCGCCACCACGAAAGCCGGAGTCTGTAGGAGAATCTGCACTGAGAAAAGCATAGCTGTAAGAAAGAAGGAGAAGGTTCCTGTTGGCATTATTTGACTCATTGGATCCAGCACTGCCTGAAGAAGAAATAGCTCCAGACTTTTCAGTTAAATGAGTTAATAAATTCACTTTGGGTTGAATATCTGTCACATACCACTGGAAGTCCTGCTTAACGCACTCAGTAACCTGCTTCAGGTAGAATTCCTTCTTGTAATTCACTGCATAAGTCATGCGAAATATTTGTGATTGATCCACTGCGATTACTATATCAGGATTATTAAAATGGTATCTTATTAAAAATAATTTCATGAGATTTATACATTAAAATTATTAAAAATAACCCTATAGTAGCCCCATTTTTCTGCACATATTATTTATTAATTTCTATTACTTACGGAATTTTTATGGATGGATTGATATCTGTCAATAGAACAGAACTACTCTTTGAAAACGTAATTCATATTGCCTGCGTTCACCGTCTACTAATCCTATTTGTATTCATTTACATATTTTTCTGGATTCTTGCATTTTTTTTTGTATTTTTCATAGTTTTCTTTATGTTTGAAGATAACTTACTTTTTTGACTCTAGCTTTTAATGTATTATTTCTCTCTTCAGTTGTGTTTAAACTGCTATTTAAGTCATTGACTTTCTCAGGTCTGTTATCATACCTTTGTGCTCTAAAAGTTTAATTTGATTATTTCTAGATGTGCCTCATCATTTTTGATAGTCCCTTCTTTCTTGGTTTTTCATTTCCTTTTAATTTCATCTTCTCCTTCTTCAAACTTAAATTTACTTAATTTATATTTTAGTTACTTTAATTTCCAAAACCTGTTGTTTCTGAGGATTTGATTCTGTTGTTTGTTGTTTCTGCTAATGCTTTGCTTCATGGCTTTCTTCTACTGTGTTTCTGTGCTTTTAAACTCTGAGTTCATTGGGACATTATCTGTGGGAATATTCTGAGACTTGGGTTTAAGGGAATTGCTCCAAGCACGATTTGAACGTGGATCTGTTAGACACAAGGACCCTTATCTGAGACCACTTGAAACTATATTCTTAGATTTATAAATCAATGATTAGTATAAATCCTGGAACTGTATCTGAGTGAAAACTGGTTTATAATTAAAAATCCTCAGGGAAGGCTTTTTTCTGCCTCCTCAAAGCCAAGTCAATATCCATAGCATACCATTTGATGGACGTTCTATACAGGAACACTTTGGCTATGATTAATAAGTTTACGTTTAATAGTCTAGAAGAAGTAATTTGTCTGTTTGTGAGATATTGCCAAAGTTAAAGTGGACAATTACAGAAAAGAAGAAACCACAGCCATAATATGGGGAGCTTATTTTCATTTTCAGACAAAGTGACATTTCATTTTCAGACAAAGATGATTTTCTCACACTCTACTTAAAATAAACACCACTTACAGCTTTGTCTGCGAAGGTGTCTTCATAAAATGCTAGCAACAGAGCAAACTGTACTACTGCATATATCTTTATTAGTTGAGACGCCAGTGATGAGAAGGGAACTTCCTTCCCTGTGACCTAGGAAGACAAGAAAGAAGCCTTTCCTTTACATTGCTCCCTGACTTATGCTTCTCATTGAAATTCACACTAAGTGAAGAGGAGATATGCCAAAAGAAAGGAAAGGTTTTGTTATTCTTTTTTGTTTTTCAAAAATGTCTCTAACATTCATTTTTTTTTTACAGAAAAAATACATAGGTTAGAAAACTTGTTTTTCATTTAGAAGCATTATAATTTCTGACTTAGTGTACCTTATATAGAGCAATGCAAGAATTGATTCCTCAGTATATACTGATGATAAACATGACCACCCTGAACACGAAATATGAAGTGTAAAAATGTGAATACAAAAATATGTCCTTGATTATACATGAAAGTATAGCAAAAGAAAATATGGAAGGCGATTTTGGGTAGTGTAGATAATCATGCCTAAAAGAGAAATATTGTTTTATTGGAAACAACTTTTCTCAAATAGTTTCCCGGAAATATAATAATTCTATTATTATAATGCAGATTTAGACACCAGTATGACTTTAAAATATTCACTTTGAATTATCTATTGAAAAAAAAAGAAAAAGTAATAAGTAGACTACAGCTAAATAGACACTTTGGAACTGAAATAAGCAAACTACTTTGACCTATATTGGGTTGGTTCATTGCTACATAACTGATTATGAACATAACTGAAAGTCTGGGAAGTTTCAACACAGCAGCTTTCATAACTGGATGAAAAAACATCCTTATTTAGATCAATATTTTTAAAAAATAGTATTCAAATAAAACACAATTTTATTTCCTTAAAATATTGGCTAATTTTTATACTCATGATCATCTTTGAAATCAATACTAGTTTACTCTTTCTATTGTTTCTACTTTACTCTTAGTAACAGTTATTTTAATTAGAAATCACAATATATAGCCTGAATGATTGGGAAGAAATTCCTTTTTCATCTCCATAAGAGGAATTCCAGATTGAAACTGAACTTTTCATTTGGTTTCCATTGTTTTAAATTTCTGACTTGCTTGTTTTTGGTTTTTAACATGATTTTTGTATTTAATGCTACTACTCAAAAATATTGCACTATAGAATGAATAAGTTATGGTCTAATCCAATAACCACATCATCTTAGTATGACTTTAGACCTTCCATATTAGAGACCTCAGTCTTTCATGAACAAAATGAAGGCGAGACTGAATCATCTGTAAGGCTCCCTCCATCTCTAGTGTTTTCGGATGCTGTGACTGAGCCACAGGCATTTGTGTAGTTTCTGTGCAACGTAAAAGCTCTCGGCTGTGGGTTTGAGTGGATCTGAAGACTAGCCTTTATTGCTCTGTCCCCCAAACCATACACCCTAGTAAGAGGCAGTGTTTGCCTGGAAGAAGGCACCCCTCTTATCGGCCCCTAGGTGGTGTCCACTCATTAAGTTACGCACCATAGGGCTGTATCTGCCTAAGAGAACATCTTTTTTTCAGATTTGCATGAAGTCAACATATATACAGGCTGGCTGTAGACCTGACAATATGAGACTAATCTTCACCATCACGAAACCCATGAACTCTATTTACCTCTGGGATATCTTCACTCAGTCCAAGTCTTGGTTTACCTGGACTCCATCCTGGTCCTTTAAATATGACAGAAAACTTATTGAAGAATCCAGGTGTGGCCCAGAATGTAGTCCATATGTAAATTAAATAGTGGAACTAGAAGAATAAAAATATAGCTTATTTAAAACAAAAATATTAAATGCAATAAATCATGAACTTTATAGTACAGTTTAATTTACATATTATTCTGTAATATTTAGGTTATGCATAACTTGGTTAATGTAGATTAATATTCAATTGCATTCCAAATTGTAATTCATTCTATGCATTCTGTGTCCTTTAAGTTTATATGTCTTCTTGTCATATTTCTGAGGCTCCACAAAATTATAATTTTGAAATTAAAAAATAAGGTAATTGTTTAGAAAATAAACAAAGTAGAAAAAATGAGTTAAGAGGCTTTGCTTCCAATGGAATTAGCCACCTGCCTGTGTACTCACCATCCATGTCTAATGACATCCTTTCTAAAGTCTTGTTAAATGGGTACTAAGGTTGAATGTGGAAACATACAAATATTGCACATCTGTTTAAATATTAAATAATACTTAATATTTGAAGTATTAAAAATAGCCCTTTATTTACTATTTTGAGTTATAGACAAACATGTCTATAATTAAGGAAAAATGTTCAAAGCCATTTCTGATAACAGGCATCTGAATAATAAATAGCCAACTTTCTGTAACAGGAAAAGGAAGAGTTTGCTTACTGAGTCAAAAGTTTGCATAGAGGCTTAGGGCAGGAATCCATATTCTTTAAGTAACACACATTTGAAATGTACAGAAGTTAAAAATATGCCCACACATGATAAGTACTCAATAAATATCAGCCATTAAGATAATTAACTATATAAGCCATACATGTGATAATAATGCATCATAGGATTAAAAATAGTCCTAGAGGTTGGGCATCAGCTATAGACTCTAGAGATGAGCCCTATTAAAAGTGTAGTAATAAATTAATGTAGAAAGAAATTTTGACTCTATCAGAATTTGTGGTCTCACTGTCATTTTCACTGTCTCTGAAAGAATTTAAGCTGCTAAGATTATAAAAAAGGTTTTTAAAATTGCTTGAAATATTACAATAAGGAATCTGTGGAGCAGATTTTGAGGAGAAAGGAAACATTAGATGGAAACTTATCTCGGGACTTTGTAATAATAATACAAAAAAATAATGTTCTTAGGAGTTATAACACACAGTGATGTATTATCTCTTTTGTTATTTTGAAAACTGACTGCAATATTATTGCTATCATTCTAGACACAGCCATGAGAAATAATACATGTAACATTTTAAAATAAGGAGCACTTTCTTGCTAATTTGCTTTCCAATGCCCAGAAACTCCCAGACTCCAAAGGAGAGTGAAGTGAATGGTTTATGCCTAATAATAAGGGGAAAATGCCTCTCTATCTAGAGGGGGCCATTTCAAGTTGCTTTTGATGCCTGGGAGGGAAAGGCGAGAAATTTAACTGAGTATAAAGAAACACAAGTGAAAGCAAGTATAGGATTTTGCATGTTCAGGAACTCCTAATTATCACAACTGGCTGATTTGACATTTTTCGCAATATAAGTAAGCATCTAGAAAACGAAACCTTAGGCACAGTTGTGACAACGACTACACTAAAAGAAATGTTTATGTGAGGGCACAGGCCTGGAGAACTGAACCTGACAGATTCAGTAGCCGCTCATAAATACCTGTGATTGAGGACTGTGTTCCTCCACATCCTAGTCATCCAACTCTTTGTGCCCCTTGTGTCGAACAGCTTTCAATCTCTTATTCTGAAAATGTGAAGCCCTTCTCCTCAGCAAGAGCGTATACTCCACAACCTTGCTACTTAAAGGATTAACCATGAAACAGCAGCATCGGGATCACCTCAAGCTTGTCAGAAACACAGAATCTCGGACAGACCTCAGACCTACCGAACAGAGTCTGCACCTTAATAAGATCGTCCCGTGGTTCATATGCACCTTAAGTTTGAAAGGCTGTCTCCTGGTGGACAGAGACAATTTATCTATTCATTTTTAATCTCCACATTGCAGAGACAAGACTACACCAAGTGAAGAAGTAGCTCTCGATGTATTATTTCTATATTGATTTCAATTTTATAAAGGTTATGATTAAGAATGTACTCTGATAGATTTGTTAGTAGTCTCCTGAGAGAGATATGTTCTTAGTAATGTCTAGCAGAGAGAGATACAGAAATGCCCTGTAGTTGAGAAGAGAAATAATCAATTTTTCTCTTTTAAAGTGTGAGATAAAAATGTGTTTCACTTGAAAGTAAAGGCAATTGTGATGGCACAATGTAAAAGTTAAACAGAATTATGCAAGTTTTGGGCTTGGCCCGCAGCCTACCTTGGTTAAGTTTGCACCTGACAAGCTGTGTGTAGTTGGGTGAATTACTTAATCCTGGGAACTTGAGTTCACCCACCAAAACATGAGGCTAAAGAGAACCCCTACCTCATAAGATTTCAGTAATGGTTACATTAAATATTTGTGCTGTGCTGTTAGCAATGTCCTGCATACAGTAAAAGCTCAATAAATGTAAATTCATTTTATTTTATTTTCCTAAAAACTTTGAAGAAGTAGGTTTGAAAAGCACACCCCACATGAACCTGTAATTTCCTTCCTTACTGAATGCTGGAAACCCAGTCTCTGGACAGGGCTGTCGTTGAGTGACCTCTTCAGTTTTTTAAGCATTCTTATCTTTTTCTCATTTAGCAGTCCCAGCCTCAGGAGTATTTGTGGTGGTCTGCAGCTGACGGATCAGAGCTTCACAGACATTCTTCATTTCTCTAGTGCCAACCATTGAGACCAGTGAACAACCAATACCACATGTCTAACAGAAAACTGGTCCAGTGCAACAAGTCTTAGCAGGTGAGGTAATGCGCAGACCTAACCAACCCGTAATAGCTCCTGACACTTAGGTTCAAGAAGAGTAGGGCAAAGGCCTCGTGTTGAATTTTTAACCAGAGTCATGGAGCCTTGCAGCAAATAGTTTTCTTACTGTGGGATCAGCCTTAATTACACTTTTTACTACTGCTCCTTCTGAATACATGAATACGTTACAGGTCTATTCTGAGAAAGAATATGTTTGCTAAAGAGTCACTTTTTAAAATTCTAGCTAGTAGACATATTTAAAAATTCTTATAATGAGATGTTTTTAAATTGACGCAAGTTGATGCAAGTCTTTGAGTGCCAGAGTTATTTCCAAGTTCTTTTACAGTTAAAAAATTTTTTTCAGGATAGTGTAATGTATTTCCACCTTTTAAAAACGGATTTTTCTTTTAAATGTGAGATTTGTGAAAGGATATAATCGATTCAGAAAAATAAAACGAATTGCATTACCTGCACCTTGAATGGTTCAAATGTATTAATGGGATGTGTTAGACCATATACAACTTTCTCACTCTCTGCCTCAAATGTCCCTGGAAGATAAACATTGAGGATATGATTTTTGACTATCTGTGAATTAAGGAGCTAATTTAATTTATTTTATTTTCATACTTTTCACTTACCAAAAATTCTATCCCATATAATAAGAGTGCCGGCATAATTTTTGTCTATGCAATAACGGTTTCTGCCTACAAGACAAAATATTAAAAAATAACGCTTAAAAATGCAGTTATGCCTTTTGAAACATCTCATTGCCTTATATTTTAGAACCACTCACAAAATTAAGACTTATGCAACAGAAGGATTTCCTTAGTAATGTCTTTTCACTGACGCTACTAGACATCACTTGCTAGTAAATTGTTTTCATTTATTTTTCAGTAAATTTTACTAAAAAGAGCAGAGATTTCCTTAAAACTATATATATTTAGAATTATCCCAGGTTTAAAAAAATCCTTTTGCTTACAATTTTCCAGTTTTTGAAAGTCTGAGATAATTCTAAGTAACTTGTTTTGTAGGAGTATTGAACAGTAATAATAAAAAATTAAATGTCCCAGAAAAAAAAAGTGGTAGGAAATAAGATGAATAACATATGTACATTTGTATTTTTTTTAAATTTTGAAGTGAGTTGTTATTTCTGTCCCTTTTCTCTGTGTCTTTTCCAGGAAGACAATTTTCTACTTAGAGTGAGACTTTACTATTTTTTTTTGATCCTAAAAGACTTTAGTGAAAATTAAATTACCCTTGATTATTTTTATTAACTCATTAACATATATGATTTTTTCCTGTTCCAAAATATTCAAATTGTAACTTAAATTTAAATAGCTGGGCATAGTTTCTTTAATTAAAAAAAGCTTAAATAGACACAAGCATATCTACATGATTGTAAATGAAAGGAAAAAGAACATTAACCTACCAAACCACTACTCTAACCAACTCAACTGTCTTCATGTGTCCTCATTTCTTTCCATGCCTTCCACACATGCAAATGTACATTGGAAAGTGCAGACACAAGGAAAAATCCCTTCCAGTGCAAAAGTTGAGTGGGGCTGCGTACAAAGGTGCACAAGCCATTGCCATTAGTGGGCTGAACCGTGATTCCCCATTGTGGAGGAGCCCTTCGCCCTTCAGGCGACATGTGGCAATGCCTGGAGACTTTGTTTGTAGCCACAACTGGGAGGGGGTGTTACTAGCATCTAGTAGGTAGAAATCAACATCCTATAATACACAGGGCAGTTACCCCAGCACCGCCACCCCCAAATGAAGAACTGTCTGGTCCAAAATATTAGTAGTGCTGAGGCTGAGAAACCTTGACATAGAGCAACGTGAGTGCAAAGGTACTTTGAAGCCAAACAGAAGAAATTAGCAACTTTCTTCTTCAATGTGGACTTGTTCTTCTCCATTCCTTATATGTTATTTTATATGGAGAAAACCCCAAGAGTGTAAAACTCTTGGACTCTCCACCCCTTCACTAACTATGCCCTGTGGGTGGGAGAATGGCTGTTGAGTTTGGAAGAGGAAACTGGGCATGTGCAGCCTGACCCCATCCTCTCCTCTCCCTGGGGGTGTCTGTGTTTCTGCTCTGCTCCCTGCCATGGGAAAACGTTGCTCCCCTTGGGAAGGCAGGCCTTTAGTACTCCAATGCTGCCTGTGATGCCTGGAAACTTATAAAAACAGGACAATAGTATTTATTCTTTTGTTATTGGCTTCTTTCTTTTAACATTATCTTTGTGAGATTTATTCACACCATTGCATGTAGTAATAGAGCAGACATTTTCATTGCTATATAACTCTCCATTTCATGAATAGTCTGCAATTTATCTGTTCCACTGCTGATAATATTTGAAGTATATCTCCTTTTTTTCTATTACAAATAATGTGGATATGCACATTCTTGCACAGTTCTTTTGGTGCATAAATGTAAATATTTCTGTTATTTCTTGAGGTGGTGTCTTTAAACCTTAGACACTAGCCACATTGGATTTTCTCCTAGTCAGGAAAATGCAGCATATGTTGAGTTTGTTCACAGAATTTAGGCAGGAAGTGAAGTGTTGTTTATTAGGCTTTCCTCAAATTCCAACAGTTTTTAAAACCAAGGACTCTCTGGCTGTAGATAGGAATGACCCTCAGCATCGGGTCAAGGAGTGGCCTTCAGCAGACTCCTTCAAAATATAAAGTATATATCCTCTCAGCTGGTTAACATGTTTTTCCACTACAACTAAGGATATCTAAGCAAAAAGGAAAATACAGAAAACAGATAATAAGAATTTTTGTTTTGTTTTTCTCCAGTCCTTGCATTGGAGATGAGGCTTGTCCAGGTACAACGGAAGAATCGATGTCAATTTGCACAGTGTGTACTGACTATGTTGACTAATTGTGATGAAATGAAGCGATGTAAAATAATAATATCCTTTTTAAAGAAATGAAGAAAGAAAGAAAAAAGAAATCAAATTTCTTTACCGTGATGGACCCTATGATGGCTAGGAGTATTAAGAATCAGTTCCAAAGGACCAAGGTTACCGATGACCTGTTTAAAACAAAAGGAGCATTATACACATAGCTATCATTAAATGTATATGTAATAGGGGCTGGCCCCGTGGCCAAGTGGTTATGTTCACGCTCTCCGCTGCAGGCGGCCCAGTGTTTCGTTGGTTCGGGCCCTAGGTGCAGACATGGCACTGCTCATCTGGCCATGCTGGGGTGGCGTCCCACATGCCACAACTAGAAGGACCTACAACGAAGAATACACAACTATGTACCGGGGGGCTTTGGGGAGACAAAGGAAATAAATAAAAATCTAAAAGAAAAAAGTATATGTAATATATAAGTACCCACATTAAAACCCCACAGGGGCTAAGAGATATTGCAAGTTTCAGTGTTGGCATCAGAGAGTTGGAAGAAGTTTCTCTAACACCTGTTGCTCATATAAAGACAAAAATAAGCTCATTCAACCTTGTCTTTGATGACTTTATGTTAGCAGAGCATAATTAAGGGAGGGAATACACAGTATTATATTCGTTTTCTGGAGTTGGTTTCACCCAATAATCAGCCACATAGCAACAACTTACTATTGTAGCTGTTATCTGCTGCATTAAGAAGATCCTACTTATTCAAACAGAATCCTAACTGATCTCTTACCTGTAGATGCATCGTCTACTAGTTCATCTTAGAGGCACAGTTCAAAGTCAGATATATAGAGAATCTTTTTTGGTGAGTAAAGACCCTTCAAAATCTGGTCTATAACTTTCTAATGTTCCCTCTCGAAATTTCTCGGTAAGAATCCCCTGTGCCAGCGTCTTCAAATTATCTCAGGAGTATAGGAACCAGGTAGGTGTCATAAAAAAGAACAGCAGACCATGTGTAAGACATTTGGCATTTTATATTACTAATATTCAGCAATATGGGAACCCTTTTAATCTTGATTACATTGTTCTTTCTTCCACCAATGGTGGCAGATAACAGAACATTTTACTTTTATTTAATTCTATCTAAATGAACTTATTAGAAGCTACCAATGACAAAATCAATTCATCGTTAGTGCAATCTCAAGAAACTATTCACCTCCAGTGTAAACTTCCATTTAGAGGATATATGAGGAATAAAGGAATAAGTTAAATGATGCTTAAGAGGAAAAAAATGGCCACTGACAATCATGACACTGACATGAATTTGGTAATAAGTTAGTGATACGGGAAAAAAAATAGGGAGATGGGACTGCTTAAAATGAAAAGATATTTTAGATACATAACAACAAATGTAATGTGAGGATCTTGTTTGGATACTTATCTGAACAAACAAAACATAAAAGACATTTTATAGGTAATGATGGAAAATTGATTATAAACAGAGTATTACATGACACAAAATACTGTTTACATTGGGAGTTATAATGGTGCTGTCATTGTGTAAGAAAATGTAATTTTTTTTAGAGTTGTATAACTGCAGTATACATGATATGAGATCTAGGTTTTGCTACAAGATATTTGGCAATGGAAAAGACAAAAAGATAGCTGATGCAAATGAATCAAAATCATAATGATTTTTGAATCGAAGTGATGGAGATACATGAATGCATTCCATTATTCTGTCTACTTTTCTGAATGTTTGAAAACTTTTATGATAAACTTTTAAATCAAAGAAATTGCTACTCTAGTAATATACAATAATACTCAGTTACCCAGTTGAAAATATTAATAGATTCCTAAAGTCCCAGGCATACTTCTAGATTGCAACTCTTTATATGGCAGGGTTTAATCATTCTTTTGGCAATCTCTGACATTAACACACCCAATTTACAGTTGCTTTGCAAATGCGAAGGGCTGCAGTTGCCACACCATCCTCAGCTTGTAGGGTCCTGTACCCTCTTGAAGTAGAAGCTGTGGCAGTGTTGCCACATGACAATGCTGCATCCCTTGATGGGGCAGGTGCCACCCTCATCTCCTTGTCAGACCCATTGCTTATACTGCTGAAAGAAACAATCCTTGCCTCCCACCCTGCTGGCCAACTTTTAAGGAATTTTCAGTTTCCACTATGGAACAGACAGAAATGTTTGCATGCAAAGAATGTATAATATTATGTGTTGTATATTAATTTGGGCTTTTCTCTCTCTTTTTCTTTTTTTCTTTCTTTCTTTTTTTTTTTTTTTTTTTGTCTCTCTCGCCTCCTTCCTCTTTCTCTCTCTCTCTGTCTCCTTCTTTTTCTTTCTTTCTTCTAACCTGGAGTTCTATCACCCTTTTTAAAGTTATTTCCAGGAGAAACATATTATAAGCTCCAACAACAGACTTGGCAGTTAACTCATACAACAGAACTCATTTATACATTAAAACTATCTGTATTTTTTAATGTCAGGAGTTCAAAATACTGTGAAATATATAACCTTTATAGATCAGACTACATTCCTATGAAATAAGGCACACAATGTATTATCCCACAAATATGGTATTAATGACCAGGAATTGGGATGGGAGTACGTAGAAATAACCCTCTATTTTATTGGACTACATCGCTTTGTACTTGGTGGAAAAATATTTGTTGAGAAGAAGAATGGTGATGGAGAAAGAACAAGAAACTGGGGTTTCTCAGCAGTCAGAACATTGAAATCTGATGCTTTGGTCTGGCTTTGTATCTCTGGCAGAGAACCAGATGGGAAAGGAGAAAACCATTTTATCCTTGTTTGTCTCTTTGGTGCCTAACATATGTTACAAAAACAGGCAACAAAAGGGAGTGGAGGAGAATACACTGTCGGGCTTCTGCTACCCAGATGCATTTCTGATCCTTGGTCCTGGTGTGTGTGCTGCCAGACTTAAAGCCACACAAATGGTGAGTGCGTTCATATGACTGGAGACTTGGCTGAGGGCATTATTTTTTTTAATGTCAAGCACTTTTCCTCAAAGAAATTTTTTTGCTCCTGCAGGCTAAAGCATGGTGATATCAATATTGAAAGTTCCCCTCTTTTTTTTTTAAGTTAAAAGCCAAGCACAACACAGGCAACCACAGTTAAATTTCCTGGTAGTGCCTATGAGTACCTTGGAGCTGAGGAAGACCACCTCGGTGTGGGAGACGATTCATCATTCAGACAGCCCGGTCAGAACCTCTCTTGCAGAAAATCCCTTTGATTCAAAGTCATGGAGAAGTCATTAATAATTAATAAGAGTTGAGCATAACGACTTAATTATCGCCCACTTTTGCAAATTCAGTCATTTAGCAATTCAACCACATCTAGCTTTGAATCACTTCCCCAAAATATGTTACTGTGGAAATAATTGAAGCTATTCTCCTTTTTAAAAGTTTTTATTTGTCTTGTTTTTTTACGTTTAGATGACAATTTAAATTACGGAATTTTAGAACATATAGAGGGCTTTAAAATAATATAGTCCACTGCTCTATTTAGAAAAAAAAAAGCATAAAACTAAAGTTCAGAGAAGTTCAATTACTAGTGCAAGTTTAAACATCTTGCAGGAAGTGCAAAGTCTTCTCAGTTTCATCTCAGGGATCTTTCTATTTTTCTATCATGTTGCTTTTAAGAGATAAAGCAATTTTTCTGTCAAATAAAAATAATTTAAAGTTTTAGAAATTTAATGGGAGATAGCTAAATACTTTTTGACTACATTTCAGTTAAAAGTGAATTCAGGTATTTATAAGGAGCCCAGAGATTTCAGCTTCTAAGCTGCCCTTCGTGGTATTTTAGGTACTTCTGGTGCTTCTTAGGTCTCCAAAGCAGAGATCTAAGTCTTGTATCCTGTAGTTTTCTGTCTAGATTTTGTAACCTAAAGACCATGAATGTCTAGAAAGACATGGATGGGCTTCAGAAGGTCAAGAACACCGGGAAGTGTCACACCAAATTTTATGAATATGTGCCTATGGGTATGCTACTGGGGGGAAACTACCCTTTTTATCGTACACTCAAACAGATACATAAGTCCCCAGAAATTGAGAAACAATGTCCTAAATAGAGAGATTTAGATTATTTCCTTTGCGCTCTTTATTTATATTGTGTCTTTAGTTTACATATTATTAAAACTTGAGTGCTAATTTCTCACCCATACTTCAAAAACAATAACTTAAGCATTTTTTTCTATTTCTCGAAATTGTTGTTTTCCAAAACGATAATTTCTTAAGCTGTTTTTACTTGTATAATAATAAATTATTACAAATGAATAAATAATAAAAACAACAATTTTATTATAATAAGCTCCATTCACTCTATCAACTTTTATCCAGCAGAAGTGCTCTGGATCATCCGCTGGACTTGTCACAAATTCCTTATTTCTCTTTCCACTATTTATGGTTGGGGTGCGAAATGTAAAAGAAGAGAATAGGGGGTCATGACATTCTGTCATCTTCTCATCATGTCATTTCTCTTCATCAAAAATAAAATGAACGTAAATGAAAAGCTCCTCATAATGAACTAAATAAAGTACAAAAATTTGGAATTCAAAGTTGTCCACACTCTTCCTCAAGACTGATTTCCAATGTTCTCTTTCTTCTGCTTCTAAGACCTTCCCTCCCATCTTGCCCTTTGGAATCCTGCTCTTCCTTCAAGACTTATCTAAAGTTGTCAAGCACTCTTCTTGATTCTTCCAGTGAGAATTTTGTTTTCCTTTCTCCGAATACATATTGAGACATCGCTAATTTTTATGTCATGCTATTCTGTGTCCTAGCTGTTCATATTCATTTCCATACTAGACTGCAAGTTCCATGGACAGAAACTGTGACTCACTCTTCTTTAGGTTTCTCATAGCACATGCGACATTACCTTGCATATAGTGATTACTCAACAAGATTGTGTTGAGTAAATAAATCCATCTCACTGCCCTCCACACTTATGCCTTTATATTAGCGGTGCTCAAGTGGGGGTGATTGTGATCCCAGGGGACATTTGGCAATGTCTGGAGATATTTTTGACTGTCGCAATCAGAGGAAGTGCTGCTGGAATCTAGTGAGTAGTGGGTTTTAGTACTGCTAAACATCCTACAGTGCATAGGACAGTCCTCCAAAAAAAGAATGATCTGGTCCAAAATGTCAATA